CATTGAAATTCTATAGCCATCCTTCAATATCGGGACAGGAATTTAAGCGGTACCCTCCGTATACTTTATTTTAAACGTCTTTGGTTCAGGCACTCGATTTAAAGAATATCAGTAACTTTTTTGACAGAGGGATTTTATATTTGACATGTTGGTAAAAAATAACGGTCAAAATTCAAAGTTATTCATTATATAGACTATAGTATAGATTTTTCAAAGAGTTCTAGAAATAGATTGGCAAGCCTATTGATGTTTGAGTAAAATTGCTAATTTCCGGATTCCATAAATCACTGGATCTATCCAGAAATATTGGATAATATTAACCTTGAATATATAAGAGCTTCAGTTTTTGATGAAAGCTATTAATAGTTGTATCGAAAAAAACATAATTTTTTTCAATATTCTGGATATAGAGGGCAATCAAAAAAAATATTTGGCCTGCTTTTCAATAAACAGGATGTGGAAAAAGCTGTTCGCTGGTCATTTTGAATAATTCTTTTGACGTAACGACCACATATGATGTCTCTTGCCAACATTTTATATGCGTTTTATGTTGGGTATATATACATATACCTGTAAAATGAACTAGCCACTGCCAAAATAAGCGATTAAAAGAAAGCTTTCCGGCCCATTATATACACATCCTCAAACAAATAAACCGTTGACGCAAAGTCGAGAAAATCAAGAAAAATGTTCTGGCAATGATTCAAAATGTTACGGAAAGGTCATTGTCAATTGTTCACCTTCTTTTATCCAACAAAAATGCATGTTTTCTGTACAGGGTGTCCTAGTATTCCGTGGACATAGAACTACTACATATTTTCTGGAATCAAAATAATAATTCCTACCCAAAAGTTAACTGAAATAAAATATACCAAGCTTAGAGGGAGAACAATACACCCTGTATATTAACCTTTACTTTATCTTATTTATATAAATGTTGTTCTCTTTTGTTATAGGAGGCCGGATTAAAATCAAAAGTAGCTTTATTCAACAATCTTTCTGACAATCACACCAAAAAGCAAGCGGTGAACCCCTTCTCGAACGGCAACACTGTAGCTAGCTTAGGCAAACCAAAAATATCAAAGGAAGACTATGGAAAGTAAGTATGAATGAAACACGTTTTTTTCTTCTAAATTTAGCGTGCAATACTTGATAAATAGTAATCTAAAAATAGTAATTAGTTCGACAACAGTTTTCTTTCAAAGTACACATTGTACATATCATGTTAGTTGATTATGTATAAAATAGTAAAACATTTTAAAATAGACTCATAGAAATAATCGTGTTTTTTCCAGGCCTCCAAAAGGTTCTCTATCTGAGCAAAGAGGGTTCAAGGCAACCATCAGTGTCTGCAGGGAGATGCTCCAGTTGTGTGAAGTGATCAACCAATTCGGGGAACCCCTGTTCGCTGCTCACGAGAAGAAAAATGACCCTAGGAAAGTTATCAGTTTTGGAAACCTTTTCTCGGTGAGTGATTTTACTGTATTATTTTATTATAGCCACCTTAGCGTGAACTATTAAGGCTGGTTTATACGTATTTAGTATTTAGTACTGGACCTGGATATGTGTAAATCAGCCTTTAAACACAGAATATCTAGCTAGATATTCTGTGCTTTAAGTCATTTTAGTAAGTTGACAGAACATTTGAGACTACAAAGTATACAGGGTGAGTCAATAATAAGAGTAAAATTCCTTATTTTGGTTTGTTTTAAGAATTTTAAGAAATGTTATGATACACAATTTAAAATTATTGTTGTGTACCTATACAGGGTTCTTTAAAAAGTGTGGCGGATATAACATGATTTTTTAATGAACCACCCTATTTTTTTTATTTTTAGATTAATTAAAATTCAGTAACTTTTTCATATAAGTATATAGGGTGAGTCTTAAAATAAGTGCAAATATTTTTAGGCGTAGGATCAATGTTGCCAACTTTCAGAAATAGAATTTCTTACAAAGACACGGTTAAAATTTCCCGTTATTTCTAAAAATTCCCACGTGTTCTCAGATCCAATATATTGGTTTTAACACAATACACACATAATACAGATATTATGTTTTTCATCTGAAAATTTAAACATTTTTAGATAACTAAACCTATTATCATTTTTTTCGTTCTGAAAACACAGATAATGCACATTGTCGTTGACTCACCCTGGACACTGATGCGAATTTTTTATGTTTCATGTAATAATTAGAAAAATACCTAATGTCCATGCTTAAGTTTAAAGTCTTGTATTTATTTGTAACAATTTTCTTACAGATTTATACGGCAATCTCAGATAAAGTGGTGGGTATGCTTATAAGAGCCAGGAAATATCAGTTGGTTGAATTTGAAGGAGAATGCCTCTTCCAAGTAAGTATCTATCAATGACCTCTATCCATATTTTTATTCTTCGGTAATATTGTCAAAATTTCTTTAAAAAAAATTGTGTGCGCATGATTTGAACATTGATTTGAATTGAAACTTCTTCTTACTTTCGTCTGTCTATCTGTCTTACTTTCGTCTGCCTACCAATCAAATTTGGTCTCGATCGTACAACTTTTGACGTTTCTTACGTCAAAACTATCACAGTGACTCGTGTCGTAGTGCACGAAACGTCAAAAAAAATATCATGAAAAGATGAGGCTCTTCGAGTCCCATCTACCATTTAGAAGTTGCATTTCAAAAAATTATGTGTGCACTAAATTTAAAACAATTAAAACTGTTTTAAACCATTTAAAACACCTTTTTTTTTGTTTAAATATAAAAAATACCCGTTTTTTTAAACCCTTCTATATATATTTTTTTTTGTTTATTTACAGAGGCGCGACGACCATGTACCAATCATCTTACTCAAATCCTATCCAGAAATCTACAAAATCCTGAACGAAAAAATATCAGCTGCCAATGCCCAACTTAAAGAAAGCATAGCCGTCTACGGCGACCTTGAAACAAGC